ATCTCCTGCTAGAGAGAGAGAGAGAGAGAAAAAGAAGAGTAAGTCTCCAATCTCGCGGAGAGAGAGGGATCGGTGGAGGGAGCCCGGGATCGGGACATGTTTGTGTTATGCCCCTGTCACGTGAGTGTGCAAATCCGCCTGGCCTTTTGCAGTTGTGCCTACAAAAACTTGGCAACTGCCGGGGCAGTTTGCAAAGTTGGGCAGTGTCTGGCACGGGTGCGTTGCAAAGATGGAGTCCAGCTGATGTCTGGCCTGTTTTGCAATATATTTTTGTCATCGTCCTCCGCCGCAGCGTGGCTGCGGCAGGTCCATTTGTTTTTCTTAATAAGAAAATAGCACCCGTGAATAACCTCCCGCCTTGACCTCTACCAAACACCCACAAGTCAAAGTGACTCTGCTATCCTATCCGAAGCCCTACAAAACTGTCATGTTCTCACCACCAGACGTATCCCCAAGATGGTTTTCAAAAAAAAAAAAAAAAAAAAAAAAAAAAAAATATCCCCAGCCTCACGCTCCCATCAAACTGGGCAACAGGGCAGCATGACCCACCGCAGCTGCAGCCCTCGTTGATCTGGCAGCAGTTCCCAGTTAGCGACTGGCTTGCCGCCCCCCTTCGGCAAACCCCAGATCTCTCTACCAGGCCTCATGCTCCTGCGAAACAGGTAGCCACAGTTTGTCAATCAATCGCGGAGGGGTCTTCACAGCTATCAATGGGGTCTTCACAGCTATCAATCTTAGACTAGTGAGTCAGCGAGGCCGCGTTCATGAACACCCTGCATATGTTCTCCCAGTGCAGGGGGGGGGGGGCAGATAGTCATCTGGCTCCCGTGGGGGCTAGCAGTCCCATCAGAAGTGTATTGGTGATCACCTTCAATCTATAGGCTTGGATTTCCTTTCTCTCGACAGCCTTTGCTGGCCCCTCGCTTCACTGTGGCTCGGGCCTGCTTCATTTCTTTGTGCTTTCCAGTCTTCCAGGGTGGCTGTTGATTCATTTCATTAGCATCTTCAGTTACAGGCCTCATGAGTAGTCCTCCCTACTTAGTAATTTAAACCTGGGTACCTCAGTGCACATATCTGGGCGTTCCCTCCCCAGCTATCGCAGGCAGTGACTAATGGCCACCTGACCAAGGTCTAACCATGTGACAGCCCCCTCCTGAGGACTAGCCCAGTATGTCCATCAAGTGCAGCACTGTTTTTTTTTTTTTTTTTTTTTTTTTTTTTTTTTTTTTTAATTTATTTTAAAGCCCCTTCATAAGCCCACTATCCCCACAGTGGTAAGAGAACTGCAGGAATTG